TCTCTCACATCAATGTTTTTTTTTCTCTCTCTCTCTCTCTCTCTCTCTCTCTCCCCCCCCCCCCCTTCCACTCTCTCTGAAAAAGCAATGGAAAAAGTATCCTCTGATGAGGATAAAAAAGGAAAATCACAGAACTGGAAATAGCTGAAATAAATTTGCTGGATAGGCTTAATGGCAGAAGGTAGATGATAGAAGTCAGTGAACTTGAAGCTACATCACTAGAAATTATACAATCTAAAAGAATAGATCAAAAAAATAAATGAACAAAACTTCAGGATATTATCAAAAAGCCCAACATGCACACAATAAGGGTCATGCCTGAAAGGAGGAGAGAGATAGGAAGGAATATTTAAAGAAATAATGGCCAGAGCTTTCCCAAACATGGTTAAAGACATAAATTTACAGATTCAAGAATCTCTGTGAACTCCAGGTAATGATCTAACACAATTATGAAATAACAATACTCAGATGATGGGGGGGAGCATGCAAGTGTGGGATATTGAGGTGGGGGACACACAGAGTTGTTCAATAAATGATAGCTAAATTCTCATATTACATAATGGGAAGCCAATTGGTAATACCTGAAACTGAAAGATCAAAAAATGTCCAATTAACTTGTTTAGGGAAAAAAAAAGATAAATACCTTAAGAGGCAGCTAAAGAGTTCAAAGTAGTTGCCTCAAGGAGAGGGAAAATGGGAGGGTAGTGAGGAAGGCAGAGTACTACTCTAATCTGTAAGAAGCCTTGTACGTGTATTTGACCTTTAGAGTTATGGACATGTAACACTCTGAACAAACAAATTGAAAAGATTTACCACTGTCTATTTTAACATCGCAGTGTGATAATACCTACCAGAAAACACTTAGTATTGAGTTACTAGAAAAGTTTTAAGTTCTAAGTAAATTAATATTTATGTTTATATATAAGTAAAGGTAACAAAAATATGGAAGTGAGCCTAAAGAATAAGAGGCAATTTGCCTAAAAGTCATTTGTTACTCTCATTTCCTCTTTGTTCCTTCTACTGAGTTTTCAATGTAAGTCATATTTGTGGGAAAAATTGGTTTGATGTAGGTAAGTCCCATGTTCTTCGCTTAGTGACTTCAATCAGTATATGGACTAGGCCCAGAGAAGCAGAAGGTGGCAATGTGGACTTGAATGGTACATAATGAGTGGACCGAAATGGACTTCTGAATAACTAAAATGCAGAGTGAATTACAATGTATAATTCCCTCTATTCTGTGAACATTTCAGGAAGCTCTGCTTCAGTCCAGTAAACAGAAATGACTTTCCACTAAACAGAAATGACAACTGAGTTTTGAAATAGCTATAGAATTAGAGATCTTAATTCTTAATTTATATAAACGGAAGTCAAAATCAGCTTAAATAAAATTCTCTTCTGTACAAATGCTGGCATATTGATCCAAACGACTAAATTTAGATACTAACCACGTTTCTTTTTACCTCTTACCACAAGTAAGAAGCAATTACTCCAAATAATGCCACCAACAGAAAGAAAAAATATTTTTTAAAAGTTGTTTGGTGGCCCTAGCCAGTTTTGCTTAGTGGTTAGAGCATCAGACTGGACTGAAGAGTCCCAGGTTCGATTCCAGCCAAGGGCACGCACCTCGTTGGCAGGCTCGATCCCTGGCCCAGACAGGGCGTGTGCAGGAGGCAACCGGTTGATGTGTCTCTCTCACATCAATGTTTCTCTCTCTCTCTCTCTCTCCCCCTTCCACTTTCTCTGAAAAGCAATGGAAAAAATATCCTCTGGTGAGGATTAAAAAAATAAAAAATAAAATAAAAAAAATAAAGGCTGTTTGGTAAACAACTCAAAATCTGTGCTTAACACATACGAATCCAGTCCCTTTGTACTTCAGGCAACAACACTGATTATTATACAATCAATGGCTTAAGGTGCTGAAGTAAGATTTGGGCTGCTGTGACCATCAATCATTTTTAAAATCTTATACAACTGAAAGTCCTCTGTATCTTTAAAATTGTTGCTAACATTCATTCCCAGAGATTTTCACTTTTAGGATTTACTATATTTGATCTTCAGGGAATAATATTTTTGGAAAAATATATGATATGCCAAACAGACATGGATTCCAGATAACATCCTGATAAACATCCGCTAATGGCAAAACAATTTTTAAACCTTAGAAGAACATGAAGAAAACTAAAATTTCAAATCCATCTGCCTCAGAAACAGGATTACAGATAATTTTTTAGACCCAATTTTCTACTTTCTATATTATTATGGTTCCCTAGTTTTAAAAAACATATTAGAAATTGCTAACAATTATTTCCTCTGAGATGGAAAACCAATGGCTAGGAAGGAAAGAGACCTTTTGAATATTATATATTGTGTATGAATTTTAAATATATGTTTAAAATGGCCAGAATGAGTAAGTTTATATTCTTGATAAAATGTTTATTTTGCTAGGGAGATGCTTCAAGGGAAATGTGGGTAAGTAATATAAAATTTAAAAAAATGAGGCACCATGAATTTTAATAGTTGTCTTTTTAATAATTGGGATTACATTGTGTTTTAAAAACTTAGAAGTATTTAAATTGTCTTTCATGATAGAATGCCAGCTTTCAATACTCATTTTAGTTTTCCCGTAAACTGATGTCTAAAAGAAAAATTCCAACTTCTATTAAAATGCACAGGAGTGAAATGACTAAACTTGACTTTCTCAGTTCCCAAGTGCTACATATATAAGCAGGGATTAGGAAACAAAGCTCTGACATACCTGAAGGAGAAGAAAGCCACCACCTACTGCAGTTGCTGCAAGTTTTCCAACTTTCTGAAACAAAAATCCTGCACACCTTCAATGAAATAACAAAAAATGAGATCAACGATGTATTAAACTCTCTCCCTCTCCTACTTTTCATTGCTTTCCTAATAATATCTTAATGTCTTCCCATTTCTTCTGATCATGTCATGTCCCTTACCTACTCAGAAACCCTCAATGTTTCTCATCAGCTAGTCAATAGTACACAATCAAAATTGTCTGAGATAAGCTTCAGGAATGGAGAGAAGAGGGGAATTTATAGGAAAAAAATATTGGCAACTGAACTGAATGTTGAGTATTCAGGGGTTCATCATATTCTTGCTTCTACATTTGTAAAGCTGAAATTCTCCATAACAAAAATAACTTTTGTTTTGTTTGCTTTTTTAATAGTCAAGATGTTCTACACACCTGGCTGACCCTCACTCTACCCAAAACTTCTGCTCCAACCCAATTAGTTTCTAAATAGGTCATCACCATTGCTCAAGCTATTAATCTCCCTGTTTCTAGGGCTTTCCACTTAGCTCTGCCTATCTAAAGCTTTTCTACCCTTTAAGGTCCAGTTGGAGTTCCACCTTCATGACTCCACTTCAGCCCATATTTCTCAAGGTTTCCTTATCTTTATCTCTATATTAAATCTGTTTTGTCTCATCTACCCATTAAGAATGTCAACCCTTGCTCTGGCCGCTGTGGCTCAGTTGGTTAGGTGTCATCCCATGCACCTAAAGGTTGCCCATTCTGAACTGATTCCCAGTCAGGGCACATGCCTGAGTTGTGGGCTCCATCCCCAGTCAGAGGCGTGCAGGAGGGAGCCAACAGATGTCTCTCACATTGATGTTTTTCTCTCTCTCTCTTCCTTTCTCTCTAAAAATCAATTTTAAAAATCTTTAAAAAAAAAAATGTCAACCCATACTACTTTTATGACTTTCTCCTTCAGTGAGCTCATATTCCTTTTGGTATCCCAGATCCACAGTGTGCAAAAGAATCTCAGATTGCTAATCCTAGCCTTCTGCACTGGGTTAAAGAGTGTCTCCTCAAAATCCATGTCCTTCCCAGAACTTCAGAATGTGACCTTATTTGGAAGTTAATTGCAGATATAATTAGTTGAGATGAGGTCACAGTGGAGTACCGTGGGCCCTAAATCCAATATGACTTAATCCAATATGTCACAGAGACACACAGAGGGAAGATGGCCATGTACTGACAGGGGCAGAGATTGGAGTAAGTCTACAAGCCAAGGAATGCCAGGGACTGCTGGCAACCACCAGAAGCTAGGCAAGAAGCATCAGATTCTCCCTCTGAGCCTCCAAGAAGAAACCAACCCTGCCAATCAATACCTTTCAGACTTCTATCCCCCAGACCTGTGAGAGAATAAATTTCTCATTTAAAGCCATGTAGTTGTGGTACTTTGTTAAAACAGCCCTAGGAAACTAATATGCCTCCATAAATGGAAAACTTACATTTCTAATTATATGATGAGCTTCTCTAGCATCCAGAACCACATACAGGCATACCTTGTTTTATTACACTTCACTTTATTGTGCTTCACAGATGTTGCATTTTCTACAAACGCAGGCAAGGCTCTCCATCAGCAAAAAGATTATGACTCTCTTTACTGTGGTGGTCTTGAACCAAACCTGCAATATCTCTGAGGTATGCCTATATTCAAAATATCCCAAAGCAAACATTATCTTTTCAGTCAAACCAACTGTTACAAAGGTCCCAATTTGAAAGCGATAGCACCATTCTCTAGGCTCACCACCTCATGTTCATCTCAGACCCTGCCTTCTTCACCACCTCTGGGGTCCAACTGATTACCAATTCTATATACTCTACCTCCAAAATATTATTTGACTCTTTCTTCTTTCCACTCTCAAAAGCATCATTACCTTGTTTCCAGACCACACTAAGTAATCTTCCAGACCCTCTAATCTTCACTCCTCCCATCGATTTACCAACTACCCATCCTGACATTAGTTTTAATTTCTTATAATAATAATTTTTTTTAAAAGCCTGGCCGGGAGTGGCTCAGTGGTTGAGCATCGACCTAGGATCCAGGAGATTGTGGTTCCATTCCCAGTCAGGGCACATGCCCAGGTTGCCAGCTCAATCCCCAGTGGGGGAGTGCAGGAGGCAGCCAATCAACGACTCTCTCATCATTGATGTTTCTATCTCTCTCTCTCCCTTCCTCTCTCTGAAATCAATAAAGATATATTTAACAAACAAACAAAAACCTATAGCTACCTACAGTTAAATATAATCTTCCCAGCCTCCCACTCATGTCCCGAATTGGTCTGAATTGTTAACTAGATAGGTTAATACCTATTCACCATTCTTCCTTAATGTATGCTACAATAGTACATCTGTTTTATACTCTAAAACTGCAAAAATTTACTACACTGAATCTAAAGTCATTGCAACAAATCACTTGTGTAGTATCAGTCCTATTACACAGCTCCAGGGCTGAAACCTGCCCATTATCCAAACGTACATTATTACTATGAAGACCATGTCCCCAGTAGAGAAGTCAGTAATAAAGGCTCAGAAAAGGGAGTGGAGGAGGCAAGCAGTAGCCAGGTCTCAACAATATCCCAGGAAGTATGCTCCACAAGCATGTCTGTCCTTTGCCTAATGGCATGAACCACTAAAATGAACCTACTAACTTCCCCTGCTCTATCTCTAGGCTTTCCAAGCAAACTTCTGCCAATAATGGGGCTTCTCATGAGTGACCTACAAGGAGAAAATACACAATGATTTAATTCTATTGCTCAATTATTTTTTAGTCTTTCTTAAAATGGGGCTTTAGACCCTAACTCACATTAACCAATCACCCATGGCACCAAATTGTGAGGACCAGACCCTGAATTTTGGGGACCAAGGTACAACTGGCCTGTACAGAATCATCTGAATAGGAGAATCATCTGAACAGTCAGGGCCCTGACAAGGCATCTCTTCTAACTGCAGGCTTTTTTCATAAGCAGCATTAATAAATACATATCATGAATAAATGCTGCACCTCAGCATCACAGAACCTTCACAATGAGCGCTTCTACCATAAAATGACATTTACAAAAAGGCATACAGGAGTACACCATTGTTTCAAGGTTCATGTAAATACAAATTTAAAAAATTAATTTTATACTTATCAAGTTTAAATATGTAAGTATTTAAATTAATGTAAGATGAATTTACTTAGAATCTAAGAAAAATGATTATTCACAAGTTAAGCACCCACACTGACTTCAAAACTCCTCTATGATAATGAACATTTTCAAAATAAAGGATCAAACTTGTTTCTGACCCTTGTTATTTGGCTAATCTTTTATTCTAACAATAACAGGATTAGATCTATAGTAGCAATTATGTAATCATGTGATCTGAAATGTTAACTGGTTAGGTTAATGCTTATTAACTGCTTAATGTACTCCACAATATTTTTAGAGTAGGCAATCAGTCCTTCCAACAAAGGTTCAATGTTCCACAACTCTTCTTCAAAGCATTATAACCCAAACTAGCTCACAAAAATCAACAGAATCATCTGTATCACGATTAATAATTTTTACTGACAATGTTACACTACTCTGTACAGGGCTGACAATCCTGGGAGACCAGTTCTACTGTGAGAGTTCTCACAGGTTTTTCCAGTTGTTAGCACTAAACAAGTAAAAATTATTTATGCATAATTAATTCTTATCTATTTCTTCCTCTTTACTATCACTGACTCAGATCCACTATATTTACTAAATTTGAGAAGGGGGAAAATATGTAAAGAATCAAAGGAAGGGTAAGGAGGAACAGTGGAACAGTGGTGGGCACAGGGAAGATCACCAAAACCCAACACTAATGATTACACTAATCATATCACAGAGAAAAGCCTGAAGAGCTTTTGGGAGATCAGCAATATGAAGCCACTGAGCCAGCACGGGAACTGTTGCACGTACAAAAGGGCAGCAGTCAGGTTCCCCCAATGAAATGTAATGAAAAAGATGTTGTTCTCACCAGCCAGTCACTCCACCCATTACAATCTGGGTGGCTACTGAGTATTTTTCTACCATAGGTCCAGAACTGTGGCCAAAAACACGATTCCACCAGTGGTGTCTTCTTGCATACTCAGTTAAATCCAACACCTCATAAGAATCATCATCACTTTCATATTCTTCAAAATACAAAATGGGAAAAATAAATTTAGTCAACCCAAAATCAGAAAGGCCCTATACAATTACTTTAGGACTACAGTTAAAAATACCCAGATGGAAACATTAAGAGTCTGTTACATCCAATCCCTGAGACTGGGGCCTCAAGAGTAAAGGGCCTAGCATCTCCTTTCCAAAGGCCCAGAGCCGGCCTGGGGGCTCAAGCCAGGACCAGGCCAGTTACACAGCAGTGAGGGGTCACCCACGACCTCCCCGCCCCAGGTCAGAGTTATATACACAGCAGTGAGGGATGCCCCCAAACCCCTATCTCAATAGGATCAGGTCAGAGTTACAAAGCAGTGAGGAGTCACCTCCTCAAATCTCAGTAGGGTCAGGTCAGTTTCACAGCATGAAGGGTCACCCCCAAATTTCAGTAGGGTCAGGGCCAAAGCAGGGTCCATTTTTCATTAGTGGGAGGAACGGGGAGGGTCCTCCTCTGACAGAATCGGTTAGGGGCCCCGCAAGAAGAAATTACTTCAGAGTCAAGACTGAAAAACACCTTTGAAGATGGAAAAGAAAGGCCGGAGGTAGGCTGTGTTGGGGGCGGCGGTCATTCTTCGCCTGCGTTCCGCCGAGAGGGGAAGGAAAGTCTAGTTAGGACAGGTGTTCAAAGCTACAGCCTCAAAAAAACAGAGCCCTAGGAGCCCTGGGACAGGGGAAGGAAAAGGCGCCCCGGGAACAAGGTGGAGAGTTGTGAGCCACGTCTCAGATACTACTTCGGGCCCGAGCCGCTCACCTTGGGGAGGGGGGTTCCGGGTCGCCATGATACCGCCGGCGGCCAATATTGAAGGTGGTCCCCGCCCGCCCTCTTCTCGCCACTACTTTAACAGCCTCTCTAGGCCGAGGTGGAAGTCTATGGTCTCTTTTTTCCAGCTTCTCCTCCTCCTCCACCAAGTGCGTTATCCTATCCCCGCCCCCTCCTCGCAATGCATGGCCTTCTGCGCGAGCGCAAGGCTGGGGGGGAAGGTAAAATAGCAGCCCCGCGAGCGTTTCTGGGAGTTGTAGTCCATTACCCTTACAACCCTGACTTCACACTTCAACCTCTAGGATTTCCATACCTAATTGTTATTTTGTTTTAAACAGCTTCAGGGCTGGAGGGGAGGGGTTCATCACGTGGTGGTATAAAGCGAAAATCAGCTTGGCATTTTGAGTACTGTACCAGAACTTAAACCCTTGAGAGTAAAGGTTTTTAAAAAGAGATAAGAGAACCCCTGTTTCAAAACAGTCTGCTCTAAGAAGGCAAGGAAGGGCTCACCAACGGGTAGAAATTTTTTCTAACGCTCTACTGCTGAGAGACTTGGAACCTTTATCTGCTCCCTCTCCACAGGTTTCCAGCCAGTAACCCAAGGGAGGTAGAGAAATGCCTAGGAACTAACCTGACACTAGTTATTCCAGAGGACATAAATTTTTAGCATCATTTTATTATTTAAACCTGACAGAAGAACGACGTCCAATTCTTCACCTAGAAGCCCCACAGGATTCTGTAGAATGAAAAATTGTGTTGATCACCGAGCAGCTAACTCAGGTTCACATAAACTAGCCTCAAACTTGTTTTGAATTTGCATCGCACCTACATTCACTGTACAATTAAAACGTCTCTGGTGGCTAGTGTGGCTCAGTGATTGAACACGGACCCATGAACCAGGTGGTCACCATTGGATTCCTGGTCAGGGCACACACGTTCAGGTTGCAGGCTGGATCCCCAATACAGGGTGTACAGGAGGCCGCCAATGGATGTTTCTTTCTCTCTATCCCTCTCCCTTCCCCCCTCTCTAAAATCAATAAAAAACATATTTAAAAAAAGAAAATATATTGCATTACTTAAAATATTGACTTACATAATCACACTTGGCTTTTCAAATCCTGGTGCTTTAAATGCAAGGGCTGATTCTCTGAAGTTCCTTAGCCTGAGGCCCCTAAAATGCAATTCTAAGACTGGCTGGAGATGCTAGTGTTCAAAGACAGTTACTTCGTGTAAGATTCACTTTTCAAAAACAAAACAACTTTAAGGGACATAACTTCAGGTGTCCTCACTGAAATATTTTTCCAAAAGTTAGATTTGAGTTCTACACTCCTTCCTCCCCATTGTCCACGCACTCCTAATGAGATGCTAACAAGTAGAGAAATAGCAAATGATGGGCCACTGAAAGAAGAGAAAAGAGAAAAACAAGACAAAGGAAAATTACAAACTGAGAGAGCAAGATGTAGGGTTGACTGGGCCAATGACATCCAAAGGACATTTTAACATGCCTTCGGCAATATTTGCCAAGTACAGAAATAAGTCACTTTTCCTCTCAAGACAATAGTATTTAATCAAATAGTTATTGAGAAGCTATGGAGAAAATGGAAACAAAACACTGCCCTTAAGATGCCTAAGAATAGAACTTTGTATCCAAAATATACCCTGTTGACCCTAAGAAGAATATACCTGCCAAAAAGGTCTCCTCATGGTTAATTGGGCTCAAACCTGTGATCTCCTGGTTCAAGGGTCTACACTCAACCACGGAGCAACTCCGCCAGGCTCAAGCTGGTGATTTAAAAAAATAAAAATAAAAATACCCATTTTAAATATTGTATTTTGCCCCAGTCAGTACTAATAAATATTTTCATCATGAACACATTTATCTACAACTATACCAAAACACAATTTGGGTAGTACCCAACTTTCAATGGGTTAATGTTCCAAAGTTTGAGTAATTTATTGGAAATAGAAAACATTCTCTATTTAAACTATAATGAAGCTGTAATAAAACTATTCCTGATCTTCACCTTTCCTGCTGTCTTTGGAAACCTAATTTATTAAAAACAATTTAGTCAGAATTGAGAAAAACAAAAATCAGACAAAACGTCAAAGAGAAGAGCATTTCACACTCCCTGGGCAATCTAATCTTCCCCCATTGGCTCCAGCTGTCACTCCCTACTGAATATCTGCATTTGAATGACCTACAAATTCAACAAAACCAAAACAACGCCACTCTATCCATGAAGCTACTCAAAAGAACAACAAATTCAGAGGCATTTGTCCTTTTCCCTTTCCTTTTCTCCCACAGTTTAGAAGAGAGCCATTTATCCTGTGCTTGCACCACCTAGGCGGGAGCACCCATTGAACAAAGGTTTGAAATGCATGGGTCCCCTTATTCGTGGATTTTTTTCAATAAATACTGTAAATGTATTTTCTCTTCCTTGTGGTTTGACTATTAACATTTTCTTTTTTCTAGCTTACTTTTGTTAAAGAGAAAACCACAGGCCCAAAATGGCATTACTCGAGCTAAAAGCCCACGCTCTAATTGTAGTTTCAACCTCTCCCAGAAACATAATCTTAATCAACCAGTCTGGAATTTTCTGGTCAAACACAACTAAAGTAAACTGTCTCTGGGGCCCTCTCCACCCCACCCCGCTAGAAAGTGACAATCTGCAAGATAAAAACCCTTTTCATTCTCTTCACCAAAAGAAAAGGTGTCACCACTCCAAAAAATAGCAGTCCTTTTTTTTCTTTTGTTAATAGTTCCCTTGCCCCACCCTAGTTTCTAAAAAAAACACATTTGTACAACCCCTCAGAGAACCCTTCTAATTGCTTGATCCGCTGTAGCCCAATTCTTGAAACACCTAATAAAGCCAATTAAATCTCCAAATTTACTAGGTTGAATTTTGGGATATTTTTGTTTTGTTTTGTTTTTTAAGATGTAAGTATGAGTATTTAAATTCTTGTTTTACTTTCCTGTGTTTTATTTATTTATTTATTTATTTATTTATTTATTTATTTATTTATTTATTTATTTTTAAGGCTGTCCAGGTATTCATTGTTTTTTTGTTGTTGTTTTCGTTTGTTTTGTTTTTTAAGTTTCTTTATCTTTATTGTTGAAAATATTACAGATGTCCCCTTTTTACGTCCATTGATCCCCTCCACCCTACATCTACCCTACCCCCAGGCCTTCCCCATACTAATGTCTATGTCCATGAGTTATGCTTATAAACATATAAATTCTTTGATTAACCTCTCCCCACTCACTCCCCCATCCCCAACTTCCCTCTGAGATCCTTTAGTCTGTTCTATGCTTCTGTCTCTGGATCTATTTTATTCATCAGTGTATTTTATTATATTCCACATATAAGTGAGATCATGTGGTACTTGTCTTTCTCTGACTGCCTTATTTCACTTAGCATAATACTCACCAGTTCCCTCCATGCTGTGCCAAACGATAAGAGATCCTCTTTTTACAGCTGCACAGTACTCCATGGTATAAATGTGCCACAGCTTTTTTATCCACTCATCTACTGATGGGCACTTGGGCTGTTTCCAGATCTTAGCTATTGTAAATTATGCTGCTATGAACATACAGGTGGATAAGTTCTTTCTGATTGGTGTTTCTAGTTTCTTAGGTTATATCCCTAGAAGTGGGATCACTGGGTCAAATGGCAGGTCAATTCTTAATTTTTTGAGGAAACTCCATACTGCTTTCCACCAGTCTGCATTCCCACCAGCAGTGTACTAGGGATCCCTTTTCTCCACACCCTCCCCAGCACTTGTCCTTCCTTGCTTTGTTGATGGCAGCCATTCTGACAGGCGTGAAGTGATACCTCATTGTGGTTTTAATTTGCATCTCTCTGATGATTAGTGACTGAGCATTTTTTCATGTCTCTTGGCCATCTGTATGTCCTCTTTGGAGAAGTGTCTATTTAGGTCCTTTGCCCATTTTGTAATTGGATTGTCTTCCTTTCGTTAAGTTGTATGTGTTCCTTATATATTTTGGATATTAACCCTTTATCAGATGTGTCATTGACAAATACGTTCTCCCATACAGTGGGCTCCCTTTTTGTTTTGTTGATGGTTTCTTTTCTGGTGTGCAGAAGCTTTTAATTTTGATGCAGTCCCATTTGTTTATTTTCTCCTTTGTTTCTCTTGCCCTAGGAGATGTATTGGCAAACATATTGCTACAAGAGGTGTCTGAGATTTTGCGGCCTACGTTTTCCTCTAGGATTTTTATGGTTTCATGTCTTACATCTAAGTCTTTTATCCATTTTGA